CTATTATTGCTACCAGTGTATATTACAAATCCCGAAAATCCCGGAATTTTCGGGAAGTAAAAAAGACCGCTGTGGTGTAGTGGTAAGCAGTGCGCGCTTCCATTCTGCAACGCCTGGGTTCAATCCCTGGTCAAAGCAACATCGCAAAAAAATATAGAAAAAAGGGTTTTTCTTGACAGCGGTCGTCCCTCGGCAGGCAATGGCAAACCTCTGAGTGTATTTCTGCCATGAAAAACAGCTTCTCATAAAAATACAATCGCCGTTCGGAGTCGGCGTCTACAGTTTTACGCCTCCGCTTTGTGTGACAACATCAAGGCGCACGCCACAAATCGGAGGAGAAGCTCGGCGAAACACTAACATATGAATTAAATTAAATAGTATAATATGACGCAAGGAAGGTAGAAGCCAATTTGACGCCAAACTTACTAAAGTCAAAGTTTTCGGGAGAGCAAAAATGAGAATGAGCATGTGAAATGAAAAAAACAAAAATTACATTTCACTGGCTGTCGTTTTTAAGTAAATTTGAAGTTTATTTTTATTTAAGGCGGATTCACCGTTCGTGTCCGGACACTTTTTGTTAGTAATTTTACCCGTTCCTTTCCCAACTTGTCTCACTGAGAACGCGACAAAAATGTGCTGAACACTCTTTGTTCGAATCAAATTGATTTTGATTTTCTGTCGGAATGACTTTATGATTCGGGTTGCCGCGTTCTCCTTTATATGCGTTTGCAGCGAATTGCATGTGTTATTTGCCCTCAAAATCGTATGTAGGCAGCAACATAATCAGCTGTTTGCTTCAGAACAAAATAAAATGTGCCGAACTGAACGGTGATCCGTACTTCAGCACCCTCTGCGGCAAAAATGTTTTGAGAGCAAATAAAAAGTTGTTCGGACACGAACGGTGAACCCGCCTTTATTTATTTGTTTAATGTAAATTGGTTTATCGTTTATTAAGCAATCAAAACATGATTGATTGGTGCCACTGTTGTTGGACGGTCTTTCCGGTAGGTCTACGTCGCAGCTGCTTTCCCAACGTCCTTGCCATGAAAGACATTGAGGAATGTTTAAAAAATGTATGACATGTGCATTATATTTAACACCTCATAAAAACACCGCTTTAGATATTACCTTTTTAACGTAAGTACATATGTTCGCGATAATATTAATTATTACACATTATTATAAACCCCACAATTATATATACATAAAAGTGAACTACACATCACTGAAAAAACTCTAATTTTAATTCAAATTTTCTATTAACTAACATTCAAAACAAATCGACATGACATTCCAAGAGTAACGCAATATAGGAAATAAAAACAAAACCAGTTGAAGTTTGCAGGTTTGTTCTCATGAGAGTAATGTCAAAATGGCTTCTACCTGTATTTATGTGCCTTGAATATGACGTAAAACGATGGTAGTAAGATATCCTTAAGCTTGCTATATAGTTCAATGCAAGCGTGAGAGTTCACAAAGGCAAAGAATTCCATCTGTATTCGTATGGACGCTCGCACTCATATGTCAAAACTTGTCCTTCACATGCACACAGCACACAGTTGAGTGTGAGCTTGAAAAAAAGGCATATTATGCATTTTAAATTAGTTTTTATTCTATAATTCTGACAGATATTTTAACTCCATACTTTGATGTATCAACTATTGCAAAAAGTTAAGTAATAACGAAGATATTGGTCAAAATGAAAATCTCACGCTCACGCTTGCATTGAACTGTATAGCTTAATCTTCTTCATCTTCATCTTCATCTTCATCTTCATCTTCATCTTCATCTTCATCTTCATCTTCATCATCTTCATCATTATCTTTATCCTTGTCTTTTTATTTATCTTTAACTTTGTCCTGTTCTTCATCTTTATCATTGGCTTGATCCTTCAATATAAGTTGTGTGTCTGTGGATTTGTCGTTGCTCTTGTATCTTGCTCTCTGTATTTTCATTACACACTCCACAGTGGCGTTAAAAGTTCAATGCAGCCGCCCCCTGTCTATTCACGCATGCGCATACGCATATGCAAAAATTAATAGCCCAATTCTGTATAGGTGACAAAACTTCTTTTACTGACAAATTTAAAGTTTTTCATATATTTTTCCGTAATAAAAACTGTGACAAGAATTTGTCAGTGATAAAGAATAGAGCCGTAAGTTTTATTTTCTGAGCAAAAAATAAAACTCAAGAAATAACGATTATTTTCCGAGCAAAAAAAAAACTTAAAACGTAAATCTGAAGCATGGGACTTTAGTACTTTCCCATCAATACTGTCATCAGAAAGTCCTCAGTACTAATAGTCAAACTACTCATTTATGCCATACTACAAAATCAAAATCATTTTGCAAATGCGCATGTATTAGAGACTAATTGTAAATGTGTTAGAATTTTGCCTAAAGTGCTCAGCAATGTCTTGTAGGGCAAGTTCACATAGCGAAATAAATTCGCAGTTTCCGTAAAATATATCTTCTCCAAAAAGCAGGTTCCTTTGGACTTTATTTTTGTATTTTAATAACTCATGTAATAGTGAATTAGGTGTAGCTTAATCAAAATGTAGAATTGTTGAGTATTTCATACTTAAATTTAAGTATATAATTTACTGTACAAATGTCCCACCCGTGACGGTGGAATACGCCACATATAACGTACTCGATGTTACAATTATCATAAAAGAAAAGTGAACGTTTCTCGTTGGGGTAAAATAATTTTTTTCTGACTATGTACAATACAATAATACAAAACCACAAATGATCTGATGGTCGATGAGCAGATGCCGATTCCTGGGGACTGAAAGTGAGCTGCTCCCCAAAGGAGCAAGCAGGGAACAGTATAAAAGCAAAGTAAAAAATAAATTTCTAAATTTCTAACAGTGTTCAGTAATAAATATCATTTTGATAAGTTACATAACATATGTTTCTTTTGAAAAAAGGTTTTTTTATGTATGAATGTACACTAGGGTGGTCCAAAAATGCATGTGAAAAAGTAAAGTCGGAATTTGTATGCTCTCACCCCCTAGGATTGTTCTATATCGAAAAAAATATATATATCCCTGTTTTTTTTTATTTTGAAATCAAAAAATATTTAGAGGTCACTCAAAGCGCCCAAAGTTTTCCATGTTTTTATATGGGGAAAAAACAACTTTTCGTAGAAATGGTATAGAATTCTTAAGAATCAATATTTTTCTATCGGAAAACTCTGTTTATCTGCAGGAGATTCCCAATAATAATACACAATTGTTTATTTAACCATTTTTTCATCGCAACTATAATTTATAGGTCCGCCAAAAACCCACAAAAACCCCAATGGGGCGACCAATAAAAAATCGTTAGTATTAAAAAATGGTTAAATAAACCATTGGGTATTATTACTGAAAAACTCCTGAAGAGAACCAGAGTTTTCCTAGTGAAATATATTGATTTTCAAGAATTTTATAGCATTTCTACGAAAAGTTGTTTTTTCCCATATAAAAATACATGGAAAACTTTGAGCGCTTTGAGCGACCTCTAAATATTTTTTGAATTCAAAGTTTCCACAAAATTTAGGAAAATTCGACAAATTTTCACCAAAATTTTCTACTTTTAAACAAGTATTGCAGTTTTGTAGTTTACTCAATTTCAGCGCTCCGTATTTAGCAGTAAGCGTTCCTTTCATAATTTCAACTTTTCAAAATTTTCAACTTTTAAACCAAATTTTTTAGAATATATTTGAGTATGCAGTTTGGTAGTTCACTCAATTCAAGTATAACAAAGTGCAAGTTTTAAGTGGCTATAATCTACCGTTGATTTTTTAGAATTTTTTTACTGACGCTCTTCGGTCATCCGTTATATGGAGAAAATGAGCAACATCATCAGCAAGAAAAATATCAAAAATCAACGGTAATTACAGCTGAAATTTTTATACCCGAGCGCACTTGTGCACAAGGGTATTATAACTTTGTTCACATAACGGTTGTTTGTAACAGGCAAAACGAATCGAGATAATATAGACAAATGTATACATAAATGATCAGAATGAAAAGAGAAATCGATTAAGCGGTGACTGTCTGTCCGTCCGTCCGTCTGTCCGTCCGTCTGTGCACACGATAACTCGAGTAAAAATTAAGATATCTTAACGAAACTTGGTACGCGTACTTCTTTCGGTCGTAGGACGGATGGTATTGAAAATGGGCAAAATCGTACAATAACCACGCCTACCTCCCATATAACGGTAATTTTCAGAAATACAAAAACTGCGATATTTTAGTAACTACTGAAGATAATTCACTCAAAATTGATATTTAGAATAAATTTTAGACGAAAAATAAGAATATTAACATTTTTTTGAAAATGGGCGTAGCCACGCCCACTTATGGTTACATGTGTATATCTTGGTAACCGCTGCATCAATTTATTCCAAACTTGGCACAGTTGTTGGCCCTGGTACAGTATACCAAATGGCCGAAAATTTTTAAAATCGGACAATAACCACGCCCACATCCAATATAACGGTAATTTCGAGAAATACGAAATCCTCGATAAATCAGTAAATATTAAAGCTAATTTATTCAAAATGATGGTTGCAACAATTCTTTGCCAGGAAATACGTTTATGATAAAATTTTGGAAAATGGGCGTGGCACCGCCCACTTATGATCACGTATATGTATCTCGCTAACCGTTCTAGCAATTTGTACCAAACTCGGTATAGTTATTGTGCTTGCCACATAAAAGTAAACCATTGAAAATTGTTGAAATCGGACTAAAATTACGGCCGCTTTTCATATAACGGTAAATTTCAGAAATGCTTTAAATTTCAATATTTTGAAAGTTAAGGACGCTAGTTTACTTAAAATTTATACACGCCGGCTTATCGTGTAGCGGTAGCTTTCGGAAAGGTGGAAAACATATATTTAATACTTGCGCCGGGTATTTAATGTTCGGCTCCGCCCGAACTTAGACTTTCTTACTTGTTTAATAATGTTTTAAAGTCAGCTCTAATGAGTTTACCGAATTAATGTAATCTTATAACATACTTTTACAGGTACTTGAACAACGCCGAAATAGCTCCGCATATATCAGGCGCCAATTACACGTTCTTTGTGCCGGAAGATAAAGCATTTGAACGACTTGGTTTCGATAGGCTCTCCGACGATGTCATGGTATGAAGTATATTAAAACATCTAGTGATGTGGTTTATATTTGACTTGAATTATTACTAACAGGCTTCACCCCGCGGCATTAAAATGTTACTCAATCATTTCGTACGGGGACGTCTGTACGATCGTGACCTTCGGGACAACGAAGTTTTTGAGACTATCGGTGGAGGTCATATTAAAATCACCCGCAATCCGGGAAGCAATGCGACGAGTGTTAACAATGCCAAGATTACCGAAAGCGAAGTATTCGTCTATAACTTAGGAACAATGTTCTATATTGACGATATACTTTATGCACATTTGCTACGAGAATATGTTTCTAAGCCGACAAAAATCAGATCCGATCCCAATGGTAGTGCCGTCGACGGTGGGCGTAAGTCTGTTAAGAAAAGCAATAAAGTAGATTTATTAAGATTATTTTTTATGTCTTACTTTCAGAACGGAATGGCGACTACATTATTGGTGATCAGGATGATGAATTCGAAGACGAGATCATCACGCCGAAGGCACTACCCGTCCAGATTTATGAACTTCCACAATAGATGCTAACAGAAGTAAAAATAAAACTAAATTAGTTATATGTGAGCGTGGTCCCAAAAATGCTAATAATGCTTTCTGGGCCGAAGTAACAACACTGTGTATACATTGATTCACATTTTGTTCATTTTACGGTAATGTTTGAACCAACTTTAATCTAGGATTGTAAATTTTTGATTCTTAATCTTATTTAACAAAAAATAACAGGATTGGAAATATAAAACAAGTTAAACCGTAGTTCACAACAAACAGCTCATATTAGAAATAAAAAATAAGTACCCAGATCTGGGTAGTACTTTTAGATCGAATCTATTATGCAATAAAACATAAATATGGGTATGGAAAATTCTTTGAATAGGCGTGAAGTTTTTTCTTCATTGCAATTAATATTCATATTATGCATACATATGTAATATAGTGGTAAGACTTTAAATGGAACAGGGAGTGACTTCTGAAGTTAACTTTAGAAAAACATCTAAAACATATCGTCTTAAACTTAAAGAAACATTGAACGAAAATTATGAAACTAAGAATAGTGAAAATAAAAAAAACTATTCAGCGACTCAATCGTGTGAAATCTCGCAGAAAAAATTACATACTGGCATTGGAAAAGGAAATACTGTAAATGTGCGAAGAAAGTACATATCTCCAATTCAGCCATGAATTTATAGCTTTAGAAAAAATAAGAAGAAATTTTATATTAACCTGAAATTCGAGTGTTTGTTAAAAATAAAACATAATAATAGAAAAAAGAAAACACAATCATTTTTATTTGATAGAAAGGGGTAAGCAATCAAGATGAGTAATTTTTTGTGTGCATATTTTTACGTACATATGCATGTATGTAAATGGTAAATAACTCTACTTGTGATGTTTTCTGTTCGCTGTGCAAAATTATCATGATTATCTTTATCTTTAAAAGGGTAATATCCAATACATGGCAGGTATTTTTATTTTTTTAAGGATTGACAAATTTATCCTCTGAAATCTTTTACTTACGTGAAGATATGTGGAGTATACAAAACTGCTTTCGGGCTCTTAAAAATTTTGTTTTTCTTATTTTTGCATTTTTGTAAAATATTTTCCAGACTGTCACTTTTTATAAAAGTAAGCTAAAGTAATAAATAGTTTAGAAACTGTTAGAAAAAGGTATACTAACCGATAAGCATTGTACACATTTTTAACATTAAATGCATGCTTTTTGCATATCACTTTAAAACTCATTTATCAGATAAGCTAATGTTGAAGTTTTTTCCGCCTTCTCCATGACGTTAACGTGAGGGTTTTCTTGGGAGGCAGGCTTTTTGTTTAATCATTCTTCGGCAACAATTTCCCATATATTCCATTTGAACAATTTTTGAGAAATAGGTTATTTAAATACAAAGTTCTTTTTCACTCAAAAGTTACATTCTGAAAATACTTCACTTTTTTTTTTGGTTTTTCTTCTAAGAGACTTACTTCAAGAAAATATAAAAACAAGGAAATCATTGAAACCAGGGCTTCGGAGCGGAGCAAAGGAGGAATGAGGTAAGGAGCAAAGAATTTTGGCTGGAGCGGAGCTGGAGCAAAGAGCTAAAAAAAATTCATTTGTTCCCCAGCTCCTTAAAAAAAATTTAATTTACTTAATTTTCTCCATTGAAAACAACCGTGTTAATGAGTTTTCATTTTATTTTTACTTGGCAATACTGTTAATTGCGCAATGCCCAGCAGTCAGGGATAATTGCCACGTCAATTTGAACGGCGATGAATAACAATCACTTTCCTGCCAGCAGAGAAACGTACATAAATTATGCCGAAAATTCTCTATATCTGGAAACGAACGGAAAACGACCACAATGTTTGTTCATTTAAGCTAATGCCAGATAAAACTTTGTGGCTTTGCGTGACATTAGGTGCGTTCGACAAGTCAAAAATTTGTAATAGTTTTTCCAAATTTTTACTGGATGGCGTTCGATAACGACAAAAAATTATCCAACACACAAACATTGAGAGAGCAAGCGTTCATTTTGGTGCAAGAGAAGCGTTCATTTTGTACTGGCAAAATTTTAGTCAGCAAAAATTATCCAACACGAAAACATATGACCACAAAACATATGGTTGCAATTTTTGTAAACAAACAAAATTGCATTTTCCGAGTTTTGGTATTTATATGCTTTTTGGCTGCCTGCTATGTGACTTTATGATAGCGCCAACTAGTTTTTACTTCTAGAAATGTTCCTCGCGAACTTGAACGTTCACTTTCCTTTTTTCTCTATGGAGGCAACATGAATATCACTTTGTTTACAAATAAAACATAAACAAAGTCAGCTGGTGTGTCTTCTTCTTCCGGTTTTTGCAAGTACCCTGCAAAAATCGCGACGACTCCATGCATGCGTGTAAAGAGTACTCCCTAAGGACCAAGGAGTACTCAAAAATTAACCACAATTCATATAAAAAATATGGTCCAATTAACATTGCGATGTCCTAGGGGAGGACCATATATTCCATCCCTGCATTACATCAGAGTAGCACAAAACTGCTCCAACATATTAACAATGGCATTGTTGTTATATTTTTCGTTTGTACACGCTTTTGTTCTTCACTTCTCAAATGCTTTTTCGAAATTAATAAAAACCAAGACAAAAATTAAAAATTACATGTTGCCTCTGACGGCATTCGAACCCGAACATGCTGGGAGCTAAGAACTAACAGCGAGCATCTCTACACGTTCAGCTACAGCCAGACATGCAAATGTGCTTTCAAATGCTCAACTTCAATAACGTTTCGTTAAAACACGAGCAGTGATCGGATAACAAACAATAAGCTGGCGCAGAGACACGAGTTGGTCCGCTACAGCATGACAGAGGAACACTTTTGTAAGTACTCCAATTTACCACAAATAGACTACATGGTCCAACGATTTTTGCAGGGTAATGGCTAATTTCCTTTACTTTTTTTGTACCGCTTTTTTACTCGTCAAAATTTCTTTGGATTTTATATATTTTGCTTTAAAATTATCAGCAATGTAATTAAGTTTTATGTTTCTGCATGAAAACTCGAATTTGGACGAAACAAAATAAATATTAAACCGGCTGATATTCAAAGCGCGCAAAAAGATGGGAGTTGGCCATCTTTTCGCTTCGCGCTGTAGCTTCAACGGTCTATGTGGCATGCTTTGTGCATTGTCATACAATTCATCTTATCTGTGAAAGCGAATCTGTCACGTAAAGCGAAGCAAAAGTTTTATGTGGCATCAGCTTTACGTATCCAACAACGTTCAAAAAAAGTGCGGCTATCGTAACCGGAAACGAGCAGAAAACTCCCAGCAAAAAATCGGTAATCGCTTTTAGTGGTAACGTGTTCTAGAAGGCATAGCGTTATAATGCCTTCGAATTTTTTCGCTTCTTTTAGGCATTGCCAGTAATGCAAAGTAGAATGTGCTACAATATTTTATTTATCTCGCTTCTTCGTTTCATTTCGGGGAATGCAAAGTAGAATGTCCTATAATATTTATTTTTTAATTCGTTTCTTTGCTTAATTTCCGGGAATGTAAAGTAGAATGTCCTACAATATTTTATTTGTTTCGCTTCTTTGCGTCATTTCAGGTAATGCAAAGTAGAATGTCCTACAATATTTTATTCGTTTCGCTTCTTTGCTTCATTTCGGGGAATGCAAAGT